CATGACAGAGCTCACTCTCTTGCAATATCCTCAAACTCTTTGGCTGTGTTTTAGCAGTAGGGCCCCCTGGTGCAGCTCCTTGAAAGGGCTAATCGAGAGGTTTATGTGGTTCACACACTTATCTCTGACTTTGCTGGAGTTACAATCACTCTCACATCGAATAGGAGACCTCATGGAGCTGGATTTGATATAGGGCCCCATGGTGCAGCTCTGTGATGTGACGTTTTAAGGATATCAATTCATAAGTATCAATTTCTGACTCACACTATCTCTTTCTAGAAATGTTTCAAGTCATATTTTACCCCCAAATAAAAACCAATTATAAAAATAATAATGATAATTATTCATATTTATTTACTTATGTTCACCACCAATGTTTTGGGTGGTTGCGACACCCTGGCAACCACCAAAAACACTGTAGCTGTGATTTTGCTGGAGTTACAAACGCTCTCATCTCGGATCGGAGAAATGTTTCAAGTCATATTTCACCCCAAAATAAAAACAAAAATACATTTTTACTATAATTGCTGCTGTTGTAGTTGTTAATACACTTTGATAATAAATCACCATAGATTTAACATTTATTTATTTGCAAAAACGTATTGAAAAAGTCAGTTTTAAGACTATTTAGATGCTTGTGTGATATTATTCATAACAAGTACTCTCTTCCCAATTAATTGTCAGTACCATGCTATGAGTTGAAATATATATATTTTCCGTTTTGTTTTCTGGGGTGAAATATAACCTTTTTTTGTGTGTGACATTCACTCTTAGAGTAACTTGGAAAAATGCTGTGTGTTGTTCCTATAATATCACAAGAGGTATTATGGGAATGAACATGTTCCACACAGGGTCAGTCAGCAGAACTCATAGGAACTGAAAAGTTGATGGCATGTTGTTGTGTGGTACAGATATATATGTGTGTCCATTCTTCACACCATTCTCTTGCACACACACACCATCACCCAATCATTGGCTCGTTCTCCTCTCTTCCCGCCCCCTGTTGCTATGGAGACTCAGGAAGTCTTCCAGGTGCCTCAGTGGTTGGGAAATACAGCAACTTCTCCTCGTTCTGTCTGTTCTCACTCACATCTTTACTTCCCAGCCTCTTCATCCTCTTCTCCTGCTCACTGTCATTTCATTTATCCTGCTTGTCATATTTCCTTTCCCATTTCTCATTGTCTTTCCTTGTACAATCCTCTTCTCTCTTTATCTCTGTATCTTGATTTTCCATCCCCTAATTTTTTGCATGATTTTTTTTTCCTCCTCTGTTTTGCTCTTCACACAGAACAGTGAATGTCTTGTTTTCCTCCTCCACAACCTCCAGAGTTCTGAATACAAGTTATTTTATTTATTTCTCTCTGGTTAAACGCTGATCAACACTTAGGCCCTGTTTGTGTATGGTGTAAATATGCATCATCTTGAATTTGCTCTCAAACAGGGTCATATCTGGAACACATCACATTCTAAGAGTCACATTTGTGTACAAACGCCTGATAAACATTGTAAATATTCTACACCGCCGATGAAAAGTTTGGAATCATTCATATTTTTTAAAAAGAAGTCTTTAAGAATGCATTTATTTAAACAAAAATACATTAAAAACAGTAATGTGGTGAAATATTATTACAATTTAAAATAACAGTTTTTTTCTATATTAATATATTTCAAAATACCATTTATTCCTGTGATGCAAAACTACATTTTCAGCATTATTACTCCAGTCGTCATTGTCACATGATTCTGAAGAAATCATTCTAATATGAGGATTTGCTGCTCATGGAAAAAAAAATTCTGGAAAATATTGTCGAAACCGTGATATATATATATATATATATATATATATATATATATATATATATATATAAGTTCAACAGCATTTATTTGATAAACAAATATTTAGTAATTTTGATGTTACTGACTTTTGATCAATTTAATGCATTACCTCAAACTTTTGAATGGTAGCATATCACGGTTTCCACAGAAATATTAAGCTGAACAAAAAAAAATTCATAATGATTCCAAACTTTTAAATGGTAGTGTAAATTATAAACAAGATCTGCTGACTGTTTAAAAATAACATAGACATACATTCTGCTGCTCTATGGTTGATAGTGACTCAGATAATCTGCAAAAAGCACAAATGATGCGTTATTATCATTATTATAAGTTCAGGGTCTGGGCAAACGAAAGATGTTTTACATCTGTGAGACGTGATCCGTTTTTAGCCTCCAATTCTTCATGCCATCTGACCCAGATCCTCACAACCCTATTAGTGTGCACCAGTGACCCCTACATATATAAACACAGAGGTTAGCTGCATGTGTGTTTGATGCCCTCAATTACAGATTCAGACTCAGATTTCCATTACTCACTGCCATGGATTCATGCTAAAGCACGACCAAGAGGGTTCTGGGGGAGATATTTCAACAGGACCAGCAGTGAGAAACAGTGAGAGACACTGCACATCTGGTGTGTCCCGGCTCCACAGTCTGACCTTGTTGTACCTGGAGAACATACATTCTGACAGGCCTTGTGGGAACGACATTAAAAGCCTATTAGAAAGATAGCAAAGAGAAATAGAGCCTCCAAACTCTATTTCGTGTAGCTATTTCCCCCCATTTTTTCAGTTTTATTTTTAGAACTAAAGATTCTAAATGTAATCTGAATTTTCTAATTGTAAAGATTCAAACAATGTTTCCTGCAGCATTTTGTTTTTTAGTTGGTTGGTGAGTTGACTAATTTCACTGAAATTTTGCTTGGTTTGCAAATGGTAATCTTAAGATTTAAGATTTCAAATGTACTCATAACACAGTATATTACTTGGGTAATTTTGAATCAGACATCTTAACCTTCGGTTCAGTGAGTGAGCAAATAATTCAAGCCTATTCAGTAAGTGAGTTACTAAGTACATCTGTGATACAGACCAACTCCTGTGTTCAGTTTAGTCTGATTTACCAATTGGTCGATTGTCTCATTAAAATGAACTGTGCCAACTGATTAATTCATTTGTGAATTGCACGTTGCGCTGTACACTAAAAGTTTGGTGTCAGTGGAATGGAATGGAATTGAATGGAATTAATATTTTTACCCAGCAAGGACATTTTAAATTGATCAAAATTGGCAGGAAATACTTTTGCTATATTCATCAAAGAGTCCTAAAAAAAAAAAAAAATCTCTCACAATATCCACGAAAATATTGTTATCAACATTGACATAAATCCGAGCCGGACCGAATGCAATGATTGGACGAACATTTTTTGGTCCTGATACTTCCACAGAAGATATATGTACAATGTTTTAATATTTAGACCACTTCTATTATTGATCGCTATCAAACAAAAAAGTGTTTATGAAAAAAATTGCCTACCCTCCCATTAACTTTGGAACAGTTGTGCATGTGCATTTTTTACTAGAGATTTTAAAAGTTCTAAATCTAAAGACTTTAAAGAAACTTTTAAAAGAGGTATTACATCTAATAGTCAAAATTAACACCGCTCCAAAGATTCGATTGGCAGGAAACAAGTGGGCTCAGGAAAAGTCTGGAATTAAACCAGCATCCTGCATGAATTTATTATATTTGTTTTTCTTTAACCTCGTAATCTTTGCCTAATATTTTTGTTCTTTGTAATGGTCAGCAATTTGGTTCCCACAACAGCTACTTCTAAACTTTCCTCAATCTCTCAGTTCTTGTAAATGTTTCTTACTAATGAGCACAGCCCACCGGGAGTTTCCAGTCAGAGCTCTTACTGGGTCACATTTGCATGAGAGCAGCTCATGTTGAATCTTCCAGCTTCTGTTGATGGTTTCCAGTAGTTGTTTTCAATTTTTAGAACTGAGATTTACATTTGTTTGTGGGATCCTTAGAAATAATCTGCAGCTGTTTGTACTTCAAATCCCCAAAAGGCAATTTTTTTTGGAAAGTGGCGGAAAATGAGGCGAAAACAAAATGATTGGGTTTTCAGAAAACATAAGCTCAGGATTTTAAACAGTGATCATGAAATTTTTCATTATGCATAGAAAGGAGAATGTGGAAGTTTCCCCTATTAGACCAAATCAAAACACTTTGTTTACTCTTAAAAATAAAGCTTCTTTATTGGCATTGATGGTTCCATTAAGAACGCTTAACATTCATTGAACCTTTCCATTCCACAAAAGGTTATTGTGGAAAAAGGTTCTTCAGATTATTAAAATGTTCTTCAAAAATGGTTCTTTTAAAGCTGCAGTCGGCAAGTCTGGCAGATTGAGTGGACTTAGGCAAAATTTTGAATGTTTACAACTCTCATGGCCCTCCCCCACTATCAACGAATACCTTCCCACCGAGTTCATGCTCAGTGCGTGTGCACCAGATTTTCAGTGAACGCGCCCGTCTCATCAGCATCCATCAACACCATGGGTTATTTGGAGGTATGCTGTCCTGGCTAATCTACCGATAGATTGCAATTGCTAACGTCATTTATACTCTAAATGAGCTTACTTGATTTTCCGCCATCACTCTTCGTTACTGCGCGAACTTCTGCGAACTTCAGGCGTGTGCATGTGATTGTAACGTGCGCGAGGGGTGGCGTGTGCCCGATCTGTGATTGACAGTCAGATCTCACACACCCCTGCGCTGATTGGACCCGATGATCCGGGAGCTGTGGATTTTTGCAAAACAAATAACACGCTCCAGGTGGAGTTAGAAGCTCGGGTTTCTTTCTAAAACCACTTTATTTATGTTGTTCTGTCGGATTATAGTGTCGATTTCACTGAATATGATAAAAAAAAAATTGCCGACGGCAGCTTTAAGAACTGTTCACTGAAAAGTTCTTTGAGGAACCACAATTTTAACCTCTGATTCAACAGGTAATTCGATAAATGGTTAAAAAATTCTCCATGTGGCATTTTTCATATATAATTTTTTTTTTGTATATCTTATGCATCTAAATAGTGCTCTTTTGTACTATTGATAGTATTATTATGAGTTGTTTACATGTTGTATTTCTTGCGTCTTCCCACAGATGCAGATCCTTGACAAGTTCCCAATCGAGGGAGGGCAGAAAGATCCCAAAAAACGGATTATCCCTTTTCTTCCAGGTGATTTTGGGAGGAATTTGTCCTCCTCTTCCTCTCTTCTGCACACACACACAAATACACAGACCTGCAAATACATGGTGTCAGCAGATCTGTCCACAATAAGTCATGGTTATGCTGGGACAGGGTCGTGCTTCTGTTCTTGACTTACACACACACACACACATGCTGGAAACAGGCACATGAGTCATTGAGATGAGCAGCACCGTTCCCTGAGAACAAGAGCCATCAATAAGAAGAAAAAGAGGAGAGCGAGACGGAGACACAGAGAGATCGAGACACGTTTTTCCTTGCTGACGCGGCCGTTCTATTCCCTGGAAATGTATTGTCATCCAGCAGTCCCTCTGATGCTCTCTGTTTGTTCTCACATCCTTCAGCATGAACACACAAACTCAGATTATAACTGGCTCCATTGGATTATTTACTGGAATGCAATGTAATTGGTTGGATTACTATAATATTAAGTGGATTATAAAACCATTTGCAGCCGCTGTAAGGGAATATTAGGGTGTCAAGTGTCAAACCATTAAATCTATGCACTGTCTCCATTTAATTCCAGTCTGATTATTGGATTCCACTGGGACAGTAAAGAGGGACAGATGAGATTTTTATCGATACACAGATTACATCCATGCAGTAGCTATCATTTTGTACTGATTTTCTTTTGTTAAAAGGCGTATTAATATTTTTTACCTTAGGATATACACTCACCTAAAGGATTATTAGGAACACCATACTAATACTGTGTTTGACCCCCTTTCGCCTTCAGAACTGCCTTAATTCTACGTGGCATTGATTCAACAAGGTGCTGAAGGCATTCTTTAGAAATGTTGGCCCATATTGATAGGATAGCATCTTGCAGTTGATGGAGATTTGTGGGATGCACATCCAGGGCACGAAGCTCCCGTTCCACCACATCCCAAAGATGCTCTATTGGGTTGAGATCTGGTGACTGTGGGGGCCATTTTAGTACAGTGAACTCATTGTCATGTTCAAGAAACCAATTTGAAATGATTCGAGCTTTGTGACATGGTGCATTCTCCTGCTGGAAGTAGCCATCAGAGGATGGGTACATGGTGGCCATAAAGAGATGGACACGGTCAGAAACAATGCTCAGGTAGGCCGTGGCATTTAAACGATGCCCAATTGGCACTAAGGGGCCTAAAGTGTGCCAAGAAAACATCCCCCACACCATTACACCACCACCAGCAGCCTGCACAGTGGTAACAAGGCATGATGGATCCATGTTCTCATTCTGTTTACGCCAAATTCTGACTCTACCATCTGAATGTCTCAACAGAAATCGAGACTCATCAGACCAGGCAACATTTTTCCAGTCTTCAACTGTCCAATTTTGGTGAGCTCTTGCCAATTGTAGCCTCTTTTTCCTATTTGTAGTGGAGATGAGTGGTACCCGGTGGGGTCTTCTGCTGTTGTAGCCCATCCGCCTCAAGGTTGTGCGTGTTGTGGCTTCACAAATGCTTTGCTGCATACCTCGGTTGTAACGAGTGGTTATTTCAGTCAAAGTTGCTCTTCTATCAGCTTGAATCAGTCGGCCCATTCTCCTCTGACCTTTAGCATCAACAAGGCATTTTCGCCCACAGGACTGCTGCATACGGGATGTTTTTCCCTTTTCACACCATTCTTTGTAAACCCTAGAAATGGTTGTGCGTGAAAATCCCAGTAACTGAGCAGATTGTGAAATACTCAGACCGGCCCGTCTGGCACCAACAACCATGCCACGCTCAAAACTGCTTAAAACACCTTTCTTTCCCATTCTGACATTCAGTTTGGAGTTCAGGAGATTGTCTTGACCAGGATCACACCCCTAAATGCATTGAAGCAACTGCCATGTAATTGGTTGAATAGATAATCGCATTAATGAGAAATTGAACAGGTGTTCCTAATAATCCTTTAGGTGAGTGTATATCAAGCCTCTATAAACTTCAATAATTAAATATTTGCAATATTTTCCTCAATGTTTTAGGTACATTTTCCTTGAATTTAATGGTTTATATCTTGAAAACATTATACAACTTTTAGACACCCTACTGCTTTGAATTCATCAGGTCTTTGCGTCAGTTTTTTTTTTTTTTTGAGGAGGCAGTAGGAGCACATACAGTGATAATAGAATATGAGAATGAACAGATGAAGGTGAATATACAGTTGCTTTATAAATGTTTGTTTCATAAGGAATTCATTCTGCACGTTGCTGCATATCTCTCAGTTTTTACTTGAGAATAAACAGCTTGAGACAGGAGAGCATGACAGCTGGAGTTTGGTGCTACGTGGTGATCTTATCTCCTCCAAACGTCTGAATCTGATTAAGATGTTCCAGATCTCAAGAAGAACACATGGCGTCTCTCTTCAGGAGCTGCTCATGTTTCTGAACACTGTCTGATGTGTTATTCTAAAATGCTCTGGGCTTTGCTTACAGTGAGCAGGGCTCAACAATGAAGATTTTTTCCAATTGGACCAGTACTTTTTTTTTTTTTGCCCTGTTAACATTTTCACTGGCTTGCTCAAGTTGCATATTTTTATATGTGCATATTTGTGTGTATATCCTTTTATATCATATTTTACGTTCAAAAAATCATATTTTTATTTTTATTTTCAAAAAGCAGTAATGTTATTTTGTGACAGAATAAAATTATTTCTGGAAAGTAATGAAATACAATGCAACAGATTTGTGTATAATTTCCCAATGCATTCTAACTGCTTTCCAAACTGTCTTTCAAATTATTCTTCCAATGTCAACAAATTTCTAGAAGCTAGATAATTTGACCTTGGTGACATATGTAAATGAGCAACATTTTTTTAAATGTATCACTGAATATTTAATTTAAACATTAAAAAATGATAAAAATCTCTTATTGTTGAGCCCCATTTTTCATTATGCTTACATGATCTTTTGAAGTAGACCACATATTTGACTCTACCTTTTATTTTAAAGGCAAAATCCTATTCCGACGAAGTCATGTGAGAGACGTGGCCATGAAAAGACTACGCTTTATTGACGACTATTGCAGAGTAAGTTGCTTTTTTTCCTTCCTTCCTTCCTCTTTGTCTGTGCTTTTGTGTTTTGTCCTCATTTATTTTCTCATCAAATATGTGCAAGCTGTATTACTTTATGTAGAAAATCATTAAACTGTGAGAGGTTCTTTATAAGCCTTTTCCTTTGACAAACACTATATGTGTCACATGTTGTCATGGGGAAGTGTTGCTCACACGCGTGTGTGTTCAGCGTGATGTTAAGAACATCATTAAGAGTGTGGCTATGGCATTGGCGTTCCTCAGGGTTCAAAATTAAGCACCTTTTTGTTCTGTACTGATATTCTTTGGACTACATTCCTGCTGTTCAAAGAAGAATTACCTAAAATAAATAATTTAAAATCCATTCAAAAAGGATATGTACTTTTTTTATCTTTTATTTAACCGCTACAGAAACATTAATTATAAAAAAATTATAATATTTTATATACATATATTTATAAATGTAAAATACATACAATGTATTTTAGGGTGGTCAACTTTTGTAATTAAGCTCTTTTAATTTTCTTTTAAAAGCAGTTATATGGCTTTCTAATATGCATACACTGACCAACTTGTTTAATAAATTACATCTAACTTTTTATAAAACATATTGTGTTGAAACTACTTAGAACCTTCAAGACCCATTGGCCTTTTGTCTAGACTTCCTCTTGTGGGTTTCAAACCTTAAATAGTGTTGTCAGATCCACAAATTTCACCCTGAGCAGCGGTGCTGCATTTTATGCATGTTCCACGTCAGGTTTTGAGAGTGAATTTGCCTCATTATCAGAGAATATCTGCCATCTTGTTGAAATATGATAATGCTATTACGCCAAACAGACACTTGCACTTATTCGTTTCTGCTGTCATGTTTACTTTGCAATAGCTATAGGTTACTGAATAACACCCTTAAGATTAGTTTGTGGGATTTTAACGACTTGTTTCTTCCTCCTCTCTATTTCTCCCCCTCTTTATCTTTTCCCTTCAAGTGTCTTGTCTCTTTTCCTTTCCTTCCCCCTCCTTCCTGATGGAATAGAGCCCACTTTTCTTTTAAACAATCAATGCACACACACACACACACACACACACAGTGGATGTAAACAAACACACACACACACACACACACACAAGTGGAGAGCAGCTGTTAAACTGAGCTGAGATAGGCAGCATTATGGGATGTCTTGGAAAGACTGCTGTTGTGACAACAATCTCCATGACATCCACACAAAGGACATTAAAAATACACTTCTAAAAAAATAGAACACATAATTAATCTTAATGTAAATGTGTCCTTCAGATGCCCATTTATAATGTCAATCGATTAAAAGATTAATACAATACATTTCTAAATAGCTGCATACGTAAATATTTGATTAGAAATGACCCTAAATAAAGACAACTCGAAGACTTTATGTTTATAAAGACTGAATAATATTAATTGGCAAAAAAAAAAAGAAAAAAAAGTGAAGGTGGCATTTTTGGTTGTACATATCCTTATGGAGTTTACTTTATGAACGGTTCAGGGGACATGTCTATAGTTTTATTTTATTTTAGTTCAATTGTGAATACAATTTTCTAATCACACTAAATTAAAGGACTAAATTGACAGCCCTAGTTTAACATTTATTTAAATAAACCTTTAATTATGAGACAGCTGCTTATATGACAATTTGATAACTAACTTCCTGCAGATTTCCTCTGTCCTTTCAGTGTAGAACCCATCAACATCCTTCCATGAGAGAGAGAGAGAGAGAGAGAGGGATGTGTCTTTGAAGGGCTTAAACGTAGGATGTTTACCAGCTATTTCCTGAAAGCTTTAATTAGATCTCCATTTAATTGCATTGTGTTCTTCAAAAATAAATAAACAACAGCGTTTACTCCAGGGATTCTTCAGAGGAGTTGTCTCTCTCTCTCTCTCACTTTCCTTTTTATTTCTCTCTGTTCTTTCGCTAATTTTCAAATCATGTTTGAGAGCTTTGAAAGCGGTTGGAACACAGAGTGAATTTGTTAGACAAACATTTATGCAGTTTGTTGAAGCAAAATGGCGTCTTTAGAATGCCATTAAAGTATTTTAAACTATAAAACCAAGTAGTTTTCTTTCTTTCTAGTATTGTTTTAGTAAAAAAAAAAAAAACTCCTTGAGGTTTATTACATTTGTGGATTCATTAGTCTGCTGTGTTTCTGTGTGGTTGTCTTGATGTTTTGATTGTCCGGTTTCATGTTCTTTCTGTCTTGTCAGGCGCTGGTCCGGCTTCCTCCCCAGATTTCGCAGAGCGAGGAAGTTCTCCGCTTCTTTGAGACCAAACCAGATGATATCAGCCCTCCCGTAGAGTGAGTGTCACACAGACCTTCACAAACCAATGAGAGAGAAACCTAAATGAACCCAAATATGAATCAAATAAATTGCTGCGTAGTACTTAAAGGGATACTTCAGGATTTAGGATTTAGCTTTGTATTAGTAGAAAACCTGTAGTATTTTCGAATTACCATGCTTTCCACCCTCATATCCCCCTGAGACGAGAGATTTATGTAAAATTTTTTTGGAAAAAATCCTCCGATGACGCAAAAATCGTCATTTTGCGTCATCGGAGGATTTTTTGGCCAGAGGCTAAAGACTACAGTCAGTAGTAGGGGCTGTCCCGCATGTTTTCAACCCGCCCATAGAGGGTGGGATCTCACTCACAGAACGTACACATTGTGTCAGCCATCTTTTTTGGAAGCTAAGCTAGCAGGCTCTTGTTCTGTGGAGAAAGCTGAGTAACTTAGTAGGAGAAAGCTGAGTAGTAGGGGTTACCATTCATCCTCTTTTTCCCGGACATGTCCGGCTGTCGAGATCGTACAAAATGTCCGGGATTCAGCTTTTGCTGCAGTCGCCATTCATTGTTTACATGCACACCTTTTGTTTCAATCTAACTGAATTCATTCCGATTGGTGAATCTAAATGTAGTGTTTACGCTAAACAAGTGATCGGTTGATGTGCGTTTTAACATTGCTAAGAAAATTCCCGCTCCTCCGTGAGAGATACGAGACCGGTGCATCTCACAGGTGTCGCTCATCGGTAATCACGCCACCGGCCTCGCGCTGTTCTCCCACGGCCCTAGCCTCGTCCTGCTCGCCACAGTAAACATAATGAATGGCGACTGTAGAACGCAAAAGCCGAATCCCGGACATTTTGGGCGATCTCGAAATCCCGGGCAGACTCATCACGGAGACTCACTAGCCTAGGCTTGTTGTTTAACTACTGCGCTCTGTTACCGGTAGGCTTGGCCTCCTAGGGCAGCGAAGCAAGTGCATTCTGGGAGTTGTTGTCTTTCATCCACATAAGCCAAAAATACATTTTCTGGCTTTTCTCAGTCTAGAAAGCTCCAAATTCAAAAATAATTTCACATTTCTTCTACATAAATGACCCATTTTAAATACACATTCATCTTTCCAGAGGTGAAGTATCCCTTTAATGCACACTGCACTATACCATATACTGAATACTATTTTTGAAAGTCCCACTGTAGTCAATAATTGTATCCCTTAAAACTCATCTTTGATCACCAAAATGACATATTTAAACGTTTTTCCTTTAAAAAATTCTTCATGCCTTTAAATAGCTCGAATGTTACACCCTTGCTTTATTTAGTAAACGTGGATTTATGAATATGCTAATTAGCCCCGCCTCCACTCACTCCCGCCAGCTCAGAGATTCACTCGGTCAACTTACTGAGGTAAACGCTGCACAACGGTATTGCTCTTTACAACGTCGGACACATGACGGTAATTAATATGATTAGCCTTTTGCTTGACTACGTTATCAAACAACTAATAATGTGTTGCTAATGTTACACAAACCATGTTCCCATTCACCATCTCAGAGTCAGACAGCTGTCTTCTTAAAATCAGCATCAGTAGAAACGCTTTGAACAACAAAGGCACATATTTCATCATAGCATCGTAATATACATCATATACATAATTCACCTGCTATATTAAAAGTACCCGATTTTCCATATCGACAAAAAAATATACCGGGATAACCTCCCTTCTCTCGAGACTCGTGATGTGATTGGTTACAAGGTTTGTGACATCAGAAACACCAGCGATTTCAAACCGCGTTTTTTGGTTCACTGCAGTTTTAAGGAGAAAATACTCAGTAATGGTGTTGACTTATGAATTTCCACATGGTTTGTCTTATTAAAATAAAATATATATAAAGCATATTAAAAACACCACGTAGACATATAAACAACATTCAAAGCTTGATTTTCACCACAGGGGGACTTTAAAATAGTACTATTTTATTTATTATGCTACTGGAAATTGAAGATGAGTGAATTGCATTGTGGGATACAGTATTCCATGCACGATTTTGTTTGTATCATCTGGACATTCAATGTGCTGATGACATGCTGCATAGTGTGCTAACAAATGGACACACATGATTTCTCACACTCCCACACACTCTGCATGGTGTTGTGTAAATCTTAAAGCCTCCTGCTGTATTTACATACTTTTCTTTGATTAGCTCTGTAAAAATGTTCATAATTTGGCTCTCAAGAATGTCACATCTTCATTGTAAGAGAATCTGTGTGGGTTTCAGGAGAGGTGCAAATGTGTTTCTATGTGTGAAAGAGAAAAAGACAGAGATTTTCTTCATTCTCCAGCTTTAAGTTACTCCCATCCCGACAGATTTTAATCACAGCGATGCGATGGTATTGTTTAATTAACACTGATGTGGATATGCACAGTCCTCTGTGAGTGTGTATGTGAACGTCTTTCCCTAGGCTGGTCCATAATTAGCTCCTGTAAATCCCATGAAAATTCGAGCCAAAAGAATTAACCTACAAAAAATGAATAGAGAAGGAGACACCCATGTTAGGAATAATTCATTTGTTATATAGGCTACAGTAGCATTCAAACGTTGGGGGTCAGTAAGATTTTTTTAAAGGGATAATTCATTCAAAAACGATGGTTTTTTCCATCATTCAAAAGTAATCAAAAAATTACAAAAATCCATCGTAATCATAAGTGACAGTGGTGACATATAATGTTACAAAAAATCTATTTCAAATAAATGCTGTTCTTTAAAACTCAAAGAATCATTTTAAAAATGCATCATGGTTTCCACATAAATATTAAGCATTTCATATTTTAAGCAATTAACATTAACAGTTTTCATAACGCTATCTCACGACCCATTCGTACGAATTCGTACGAGTGATTAAAAGGTGGCTAATTCGTACGATTTGTCTAAACCCACGTGATGGGTAGGTGTAGGGACGGGGTCAGGGGTAGGTCATTCGTACGAATTCATACGAATTTGGTAACTCGTAAAATATGTACGTATTAGCAAAAATCGTACGAATTTGTACGAGTGAGGTCGTATGAATTCGTACGAATTAGCCACCTCGTAAAATTCGTACGAATTGCCGTGAGATCAGGCTGGTTTTCAACATTGATAAAAATAAGAAATGTAACGACTTTTTATTTCACAATTCAGAAACTAAGAATTCTGAGGATTTTTTTTTTTTTTTTTTTTTGCGCGATATAAACAAATATTCCACGGCGGAATCAAGCATCCATAGGAAACTGTTCTTTTAAATTGTAATACTTCACAATATTACTGTTTTTACTGTATTTTTGATCAAATAAATGCAGCCTTGGTTAACATGAGAGACTTCTTTCAAAAACATTAAAATTTTACCGACTAAAAAGGTAGTGTACATATACATAATAAGTATTAAATAAATCATATATATTTTTCAATAAATTATTTATTTTCATTCATTAATTTTTAAATAATACACGTAGTACAAATGACTTAGGCATCCAAGTTTTTCTTTTTCTTTTTGAGTGCGCGTTTAAATGGTAATTGTCAGTCTCTCACGCTGTTGGATTGTTTTTGTAATCTCATGTAGGCAGCCTTTTTTGCTGTAGTAGTGGAACAAAACAAACAAAAAGAACATGAGCCTGTAACCATTTTACTTTCATCCTTGTGTCTTTTCTTTTCTGTTTCTCTTGCACCTTTTCTGTACTCGGAGCTGTCCGTCACATTCTTCTTTCAAATTCCCTGCTTTTCTTTCCCTCAGTGTGAATTTCTCCCCAGTGATATGAAGTAGGCAATCTATTTTCATGTTCAAAACACATTCATCATATGCTGCAGTGGCTACACACAACCACGCACTGACACCAACACACTCACACACACACACACAGCTCACTCTTTACAATCATAAAAAACAACAACTTTGTTGTGTCTGTCATCTACAGTGCATCCTTGAACACTCTCCTGATTTTATGTTTCTGCTCGTCTGTGGACAGTTATTTATATTATAACAGTCAAAGTCCATGACAGTAAAATATGAGTGTGTGTGTGCTTGTGTTTGTGTGTGTGTGTGTGTGTGTGTGTAGTATAGGTGTCCTTGTATGCGTGTGTGCTCTATAGGTGGGCAAAAACATACCTTACAGAATGTTATAATCAAGGACTTACATTCATCTTCTGGGGGGTATGAAATTTTTGTGAAAATTATTAAAAATGCTGGCGCTGGCTTGAAACTTAAAGGGGTCATATGATGGTTCTAAAAAGAACATTATTTTGTGCATTTGGTTTAATGCAATGTGTTTACGCGGTTAAAAAAATTCATTATTTTACACATGCCGTACATTATTGTTGCTCCTCTATGCCCCGCTTTTCTGAAACGCGTCGATTTTTACAAAGCTCATTGTTCTGAAAAGAGCGGTGTGCTCTGATTGGCCAGTGATCCAGTGCATTGTGATTGGCCCAAAAACCTGAAGCGTGTGACGGAAATGTCACGCCCGTTACCATATTTGGAACATCAGCTCCCAAAGCAATAATGACAGGTGATAATGTCAGCACTAACTTATCAATTCGGGCTCGAAAGTTGCATGCCAGAATGTACATGCAAATATGTAATTGCTTTTTAGAATCAGCCTTTGTGCAAAGCCAGCCTTGCACTCTGAAAACAGTCCTCCGAAAAATGTGCAGCACACAGTCGAATATTTTGGTTGCACTGTTCTGGAACAGTGTTGTAAATAAAGCTTAAGCACTGTTTTCTAATTGTGTCCTCTTTGGAAGGCAAAACAAAATAGTTTGGCTTTCAAAAAAAAAAAAAAAAAGCTTGTTTCCGCCATATAACAAGTAAAAAAGGTAAATGCAATTTTATATCTTACAGTTCTGAGAAAAAAAAGTCAGAATCGAGTGAGATAAAAAAGTTGCAATTACCTTTTTTATTTTTATTCTGTGGATTTTTTTGTGGATTTATTAACTCATAATCCATATAAAAGTTCTATTTGTTGCCGCACTAGTCTGTTCATTTCAATCA